AAGTGTGAAATCAGAAGTGGAAATTGTCTACAAGGAGCCACTGTCACAGTCAGAGAGAGCCGCAGCAGTCAGAATATTCAAATCATTTGTAGAAAATAACGGCACAATAGCTGAGTCTACAATTGATAAGGTCCTGGTGGAAGATAAAACCGGTCAGTGGATATTATTACATTATATGTCATCTTTCATTAGACATTAAGAAATCTAAAAATAAATGTCATATAAAGTTAGGCAATTTAATTTTTGTATTTTAATTTTTATGTTTTGTTCATTGTATGATCTTGCATATAGTGTGAAAGTTGCTGACTGAAAAAAAACTGATTGGATTATTAAATGTTTTAAATGAATATTGCCTTGAGATATCTTACTTCATCAAAATTGACCATTGTTAAATTTGTATAGAACATGAAACTATTTTTGTGTTGTCAAATCTCAATGATGTGTGTTTTGAAGCCACCACGACGATGCTATGACTTTTGTTTGTCCTGTTTTTACATTTGATTTCTTGTATAAGGTTCGGATTTCCCAATTAACGGAAATGGTCTATTGTCATATTTTGTGACGATATCTATACATGTACACATGTATGGGGGAAATATTTCTATAGAATCTTGGCATAATTTCCCACGCCAACATTACGGTGCCCCTTTTTGCTTATTTTATCATTTTCCAGTAATTTTGTTTGTTAATTTTAAAGCAAGTGTACATAATTTCTCAACCACAACAGATTTTATTCAAAATTAAACTAACACTTTACTTGTGTACATATTTCAGGTGAATTTGTTGAGATCGATGTGTGTACAATATTCCCATGCCCCGAGGACATGGTTTGTGAGATCGTCAACGGAGTCTGCACATCTACCTGCGAAAACAATATGATGTATTGTTTAAATTCTGGTGTTTGTGTTGCCAGGCAACCAGATGTCATAGAATGCTTGTAAGATATACTTTCAATACTTTCAGAATTTTGGATATAAAGTTAATTTTGGATTGAAAAACTTACACAAATGGCGGGGGGGGGGGGATAGATAAATCCATTTTTTGTGAACTAGCTCAGTTGTGACACTTTATATTACTGAGGATAATGATAATATTGTCTCTCCCTAGATGCCCTGAATTATATTCTGGAAATAGATGTCAAATCAAAGAATCAAAAAATCCAGGTAACAATAACGTTGAAAAGTATTATTATTCACTGTGCTAATGAGTTTGAATATCTATGCTAATGTTATTGAATATTAAATATGCTAATGTTATTGAATATTAAATGTGCTAATGAGTTTGAATATATATACTAATGAATTTGAATATCTATACTGAGTTTGAATATCTATGCTAATGAGTTTGAATATTAAATATGCTAATTAGTTTGAATATCTATATATGCAAATGTGTTTGAATATTAAATATGCCAATGTGTTGAATTTAAATATGCTAATGTATTTGAATATTAAATATGATAATGAGTTTTAATATTAAATATGCCAATGTATTTGAATATTAAATATGCTAATGAGTTGAATAATAAATATGGTAATGCATTTTAATATTAAATGTGCTGATGTATTTGAATATTAAATATGGTAATGAGTTTGAATATTAAATATGGTAATGAGTTTTAATATTAAATATGCTAATGAATTGAATATTAAATATGGTAATGAGTTTTAATATTAAATATGCTAATTAGTTTGATTATTAAATATGCTAATGAGTTTGAATATTAATATATATTAATGAAATTGTATTCTTAATTACAGGTTTAACCCAGCGTGACATTATCGGAATAGTTGCTGGTGTCTTAGCAGGTGTAATCATTTTATTCATCATGCTGGTTTTGATCATAAAGAGTCATCGAGTAGAAGATAAGGAAAAGAAAAAGTAAGTTTAAACAGAGGTACATTACTTGGGGTTTGCAAAGCACATAGTACTGCATAGTGACATCATACCAAGATCCCATTCAAGTCTCATCTCGTAGATAGCGAGACTGATGCTACTACCTTCTGACATGACATAGGCGGTTTGTAATAAAACAATAAAACATGTATTACCACATTCATAGTGAAAAAATGTAATACATCGAAAATGTACAGAAATTATAGTTATCGTAATCCGTCATATCGTGAGCAGCTATTTTGATCCACCTAGACATCCCAGTATCCTAGTTACCTCGGGCATGCGTATTCGCATTTTTCTGAGTTGGAACGCTTAAGCGAGAGTGAGATTGTAACGGGATCTTGGTATCATGCCACCGTAGTTACAAACCCCAAGTAATGTAATGGTTTAAACAAAATTATTTTTCCACACAGCATTACATGTTTATGGTTACTACACCCCTGCCCCCTCTCGCTTTCTTTAAGAATGTTGACCATATCCTATTGGTGACCACTTATATTTATGCATAATTATTCGGTCACATGTTATAGATATTACAGGTCACAAAGATTTCTGCAATAATCTCAGAAAGAGATTATCGCAGACTGAATTTCCCTAATTTAGGTCAGAAAGAGATTATCGCAGACTGAATTTCCCTAACTTAGGTCAGAAAGAGATTATCGCAGACTGAATTTCCCTAACTTAGGTCAGAAAGAGATTATCGCAGACTGAATTTCCCTAATTTAGGTCAGAAAGAGATTATCGCAGACTGAATTTCCCTAATTTAGGTCAGAAAGAGATTATCGCAGACTGAATTTCCCTAATTTAGGTCAGAAAGAGATTATCGCAGACTGAATTTCCCTAATTTAGGTCAGAAAGAGATTATCGCAGACTGAATTTCCCTAATTTAGGTCAGAAAGAGATTATTGCAGACTGAATTTCCCTAATTTAGGTCAGAAAGAGATTATCGCAGACTGAATTTCCCTAATTTAGGTCAGAAAGAGATTATCGCAGACTGAATTTCCCTAATTTAGGTCAGAAAGAGATTATCGCAGACTGAATTTCCCTAATTTTGGTCCGAAAGAGATTATCGCAGACTGAATTTCCCGAATTTTGGTTATACATGTATGTAAATGGTGTTAACTCATAAGACATGATGATGGAGCATCATTGTAAACTTTTGGCTCCATCTACAAAATGATTTCATGTAGTCTGCTTCTTCTCACATGAAATGTTGATAAAAATGACAAAACTTTTTGATCAAAAACTAAAAGAAACAAGTCATTGTCAATGACACGTCCCCGTTCCGTTCATATTTGAGTGACATATACATTCAAAGCAGATCATGACCGAAATGCACCTGCATATGTACAACACATTATGCTAAATCTGAA